TCGAGCCACAGAATTCGTTTTGGCATCGTTGGGTAGAGAATTGAAAAGTCGATTCAGTCGTAACAACGTGAGTGAGGAAATTCGAGTAGTTTTGATCCTGAAAGCAAAATTTTAATATCGGACACTTAGGTGCAAGATTATGCGAAAATTCCATGTTTTCCGTTCCATTTTTGCTCATTCCTCGGATTCAAAATGAGCAAGAACGCTCATTTGTACATCATTCTACTTTTTTCGAGGTTTCTCAAGAACCATTTGAGCCACAGAATTTATTTTGGCATCGTTGAATAGATAATGAATTGGGGGTAGGATAGAGAATGGTTTAATCATGACCCCCATGACCCCCCCCCTGGATCCGCCCTTAAAACCGTCGAAGTTCCAGAGTCGCGTCTGCAAATTTCCTCAAATTATCTGGAGTTTGAATGTTCTCGATCAAGTGCGGATTTTCGGCAATTGTACTTGAACGATGTATGTGGGTTTACAGTCCAAAGATCGCAAATGCGTGAATTTCTACGCAGGCATCTTCTTGGTCTTTTTGTTTGTGGTTGGTCAAATTTCCCAAGCAATGAGGCTTAATAACTTAACTCTAAACCGTTAAGATGGTCAGTTTTTCAATTTTCGTGAAACATTATTTTCTATTGGCCCTCAAAGACTTATCCGAACCATGTGAAAGTTTCGGTTAAACTAATCATCTGAACAATCGTTCTATAGTTCCATTTATCAGCACCCTGACACGAACCACATATTATTATGAACATCATCGACATGTCCGAAAGTCAGCAAAATACTTCAAAAAGATAAATAATTTGCCGAAAATCAAGTGAGTCCTAAAATGCCTAAAGAAGGCAAAATGCCGAGATCTGTAGAGAAAACTTTTGGCTTCAATAAAGGCACTATAAGAACACACTATAATTTGTGATCCAAACTTGGTTCCACCTAGCCCTAGAGGAAGCCGAAGAAAACATGGTAATTTGCACAAACAATATATCGACTAAAAAGCCAATATTCAGTTTCGTCCATGATAGCACCAATGATAAATTTTTTGTATGGATATTTGAAAACTGAAACTCCGCCTGCATTCTGAGTAGTTTAAATAAGCAATGCGCACAGGGATGATCATATCACTATCGGCGCCCAAAATTGCTTCAATCAATTGGACTGTTTGAACGGCCCAAAATATGTTTGGTACTAAATCAGTTTGATTATGTTAAAATACACTCGAAGCGCCGCTTGAATCAATTAAGACTTTCGTTAAAACACGAAGCTGCAATTTTCACCGAATGTTCAGAAGAAGTAACAGAACGTTTAGCAGCTTTAGAGGAAGTGAACCCTCTTGCACAAAAGCTTGCAGAATTGCCTTTTTGATCATGTCATCAAACTTCCTTTACGGATGCAAGCGACTCAGGAAGACATTCTGTTCTACGTTATGAGCTTTGACGATGAGCGGTTTTGTAACCAGAAGATTAACATCCAAGGAAACTTTTCGGATAAAGACAATTTAATCAAATTCATGTCAGTTTTTGAAAAAGAAAAAGTGGTTGATGACAATTTCGAACGTGAAGTTCAGCTTTTGACGCCGGATTTAATTTGCAGGGCTCAACATTTGCTATGAATCTGTGTGACTCAAAATATCAACGGAATCTTATATTTCGTGGAACTGGATCAGAAGTTATACAAGGAGATCCAGGTTTAATGTTGATTATCGCAGGAATCGATAGAACATGTTAGAAGAGTTTCGGAAATACAAGCCTTAAAGTAAGATTTGAAGCACTTGCCCAACTGAAGTGAAGTTTAGAACACATTTCAACTCCTCTTTGAGTTATAGACATGCAGGCATCTTACAAACATTTTGTGTGCCACCAGACTCTTACTTTTGCTGTGTGCTTTAGATGCAGCTGAACCACCTACATTTAGCCGATGACATCGCGCTGTTTTCAGACTGACTAAATGGTCTGGAACTATATGCAGCTTCTCAAAAAACAGCCCTGAAATGTTGATTTTTAATTAACATCGCGATCGTCCCCAGTTCAAAGAAATTCATTGAGATGACCTAACTCAGACCTGCAAACAGTAGAAAGATGGAACTGACTAAGGGCTCAAACTTTTCATCAATGCATCCTCCAGGTTCTTCTGGATCAGAAAATCGCATATCTAACGCGGAAAACTGCCAATAAAATAAGAATAACTCAAGGAGCCATAAAGAGGTCCATGTTGGAGGCGACATCGCGAGATAAAATACGAAATGAAGGTCTGCGTAAAACAACAACTGTTACGGATTCAATAGAAAGAACCATGAACTTAGAAGGAATACTGGAATTGCCTTCCAGAAATGAAGCACACAGAAGAAGGAAAAATCGCAAGATCTATCCATGGCTAGATCCATGTTGTCCAACAGCAAACCCAACGGCTTAGACTAAGAGAGCTCGCAGTGGATAAGGCAAGCTGCTATGTTCTGTAGTAGGAACCGCAAAAAAGCCTTTAACGAAGAGTTGAAAACCTTGATTTTGTTTCCTAATTTCAATTAAACCTTTTACATGTTGGCATCGTGGAATTGAGCAAATGCTCCTCAACCCTGCTGTTGCGTAAAACCAATTGATATTGAATTCGAAGCCGGGGCCAAATTTCGTCGTGTTAACATTCTAATAAAGCGACTGTGTTCGAAAAGTAAATGTTTGTGACAGTCGTCCCTTTGTGAGCATTTAAATCTGAATGCAAATCCATCCGAAATAAAGTAACTAAACGTCCGAGTGCTTTACACATTTCAAATTCACACTCTAAAAGCATTTAGGGTCCTTGGCGGCTTTGATCTCGGCCAGTGGTCCTAATTTTATTCGCTCTCCCGTCTAACTCATTTATACAACACAAATGACCATTGGTCTCGGTAAATTACTTGTCAATTGCTTTCACAAAGCTCGGCAAACTTTAATTTCGATGTTAGCACCCTCGCCAGCTCTGCGCTTTGCGATGGACAATCACAAAAGGTACGTTTCCGGTCGATGTTGTTTTCATTTCTTTCTTTGTTTAAGTTCAAACGAATTTTCATATTTTTATACCAAAAGGCTTTGTTTTAAAATGGAAATATATCCAGCTATAATTGATGTTTTTATACGGAGTGAATATTCAAACGGGTTTGTTTCTCGAAGATTTCGGCTGTTGAAAATGCTCTCAGGAGCGGATCCAGTTTTAAATT